TACTTAGTGCTTACTATCAAGGAAGGTATATTGCTTATTTTCATTTAAACATATTTTGCTTTACAAATATGAAAGACTTTTAGTGTTTAACGTGTATCGGGTATATAATAATTAATAACGAGGGTAAATGGGTTCCTATTGGTAAATCAAGGGGCGGAAGCCAGGAGGTGGCCTAAGGGGCTATATCCCACCCCAGGAACGGTATTGACCTTATAATTTTATCAAGATTAATAAAAAATAAAAGCGTAATAAAAAACTTGTTTTTGGTATACGTATATCCCCCCCCCATTAAAAATTCATGGCTAGCACTGGGTAAATGGTATGTCTTTGTTCAAAACGTCATTGATGATATTATTATTATATATTTTTATAAATTTCACCCCAGAAATCCAAACTCGAATAAAATTATGTATGTTTTATTTTTTATTAATAATCAATTTGATTCGTTTGAATAATCCCATATAAATAATAAATAATATGTTAATCAAAACGTGATCATTCACATAAAATATCATAATAAACATACGTATATGGTATAATATATAATAAAAGACAATTTAATTTTCAAAATATTCTTGATGAAAAATAATATTATCATAATATTTAAGACGCATTACTGTCCGCTATATAATATGTAGTGTAGTTAGGTGTTTACAAAAAACCAATTCGTTGTAGGTACATATTGTATAGTATTATAATATGTTGAGAAAAATGATTGCGGTCGATAATACAAATATAAATTAAAATAAAATATATTATAATAATTTTTTTTATTCAATGACGCGCGCTGTCAAGTTGATTTCGTGGAATTGTTATTCAAAATCATTTTTCGTATCGTCGACTGAATATTATTATATATTTTAAAGACGTAAATAGGTTCTCCGCATTTTCAAGTCACACACCTGCATACCCGATCTACTAAGCACATTTTAAAATTAAGCCGAATTTCCACTACACCGTTGCATGGAGTGTTCCATATTATATTTAAAATGTATAGGTAACAAAATGTTGACAAATTTAAAATGATATGGGACATGACATTACACAGTAATACGGTATAGTGGAAACCTGTTTTTATTCATTATTACCGTTTTATGATCATTTAAATACGTATAGTATGTGTACTATAGAAAATCTATGAATTTATTTTATTCTATCCTATATTTTTATCTGTCATATTATGCTCATTGCATGCCATCAGGCCAGTCAGCAGTAAACTGTTTGTATTTTGTGTACTTCATTTTGATCTATAATAACAGATCTATAGTCGACTGAAGAATTTAATTTAATTACTTTTATGATATATATAGGTACTTAAAGGCTAAAGCTTAAATTACATAACGTATAGCATTGTAGATGTGCGTTAGTGGCTAGTGCGTATATGCCTGCAATCAAGAACATAGCATGAGGTCTTCAGACCATTAATCTATTGAGTCACCTAAATTAACCAGTTTTTATGGTTTTTAATTTTTATAATAACTCAAACGCGTTACAGTATTTGATTCATTTAATCGTAGGTATACGATATGATTTAAACCTGCTATGCAGCAATATTTTTCTCATTGAATCATTATCATTTGGATCATAGCGCGTAACTTGGTGAGGGATTTAATTTTGAAAGAAAGGGGCTTAGCCGTCCAAATAGTTTTCATTGCTATGTGCTCCAGCTTTTATATGCCTATTGCCTTGTGAGAAGTTGGAGTTTTTGACGACTTCAAAAACCACCCACAAACGATGGGGACAACTCCGTGGCATTGTCATTTACTATAATAATATAAATAAGGTTGGATTGAATAATGTAACAATTTGGCACATGGCAATTACAAGTCAAGATAATAATAATTTGGGCACATGGCAAGTGCAAGTCAAATAATATATTGGTTCGTTATTCAAACCAAGCAAGAAAACGCTCGGCCAACGGGGATCGACACACCGACATTACGCGGGGCGTTCTCCACATGGTTATAATTACTTAATATTTCAGGCAGGTTATATTTTCCGGGTGTATTTCACCATGATTGGACGGTGAAAATTAGGACTCACAGCTGTGTGCGCCTATTATCGTGCTTTTACAGGGGGGGGGGGGAGAATTATATTTACGACAGAAGAAATGACGTTGACGACGATGATATGTTTGGCTGGAACGGTGTCACGTGGTGGTAGCCTTGCCCGACCTCGGGCCCGTCGTTGACATTCAGCCCATCATGGCGTGGTGAGGATGCGCAGCAAAAACAAAGGATATTTTCAAAAGAATTATGTCACCACGAGGTATAATGGTGTGGTTCACGGTGGGTATGAGTCGACGCGTGGTCCGAAGAAGTGACTTCGTAAGCTGATTGCTAGAGGATACATACATCTTGGTCGTAAGCCGTTGTGAAAAGTAGTAAAGTTTTTAAAGTATCGGTGGCGACGGAGTCTGGCAGGTGGTGTCGTTGGAACCTTTTTGAATGCTGTCTTGAAGTGGGGCAAGTCAGTGTGGACATTTTAATAATAATAGGCTTTTTCGAGCAGAAAGCACTGCGGCATGTGTACCTACCGACGGACGCGACAGAGGCGCCGAACGGCAGTGAAGGTGGAATGCTGCGGTCGTAGACGGTGAACACTGCTGCGGGGGGGGGACAAGGATTACATAACATAGCAATGGTTAACGTATCGGATATATTAAAATACACAATTTATTTTTACATCTAGTGTGGTTTGTTACATTCAAAAACGCGCCATTTTATATACAACTATATTATAATTGTACCTCCCTCTTACACGTACATCTTATCAAAGACTTAGGCTTCTATCTATCGCCCACCCTCTCCTTCAAACACCACTTAAATGTCACTGTTGGGAAAAGCCTGAAGATCCTCGGATTCATCAAACGAAACACAACCCTCTTTACCTCCGCCACCTGTCTCCGTACCCTCTATTTCAGCCTTGTCCGTTCCATCCTCGAGTATGGATCGGTCGTTTGGTTTCCATATCTGGCCTGTGATCAATTGCGCCTTAAACGAGTACAAAATCGTTTCCTATCTTTTATTGCCTTTTTATTAAATATTGAACACACACCTCATGATTATAACGTTATCCGCTCCACTCTCAATATCCCAACTCTTGCATCTCGCCGTGAACACGCAGATCTCATGTTTATCACATCTCTACTCAATGGTACCATCGACTCCCCCGACTTACTAGCCACTGTTTCATTTCGCGTTCCCTCCTACTCTACTAGACACCATTTTCTTTTCTCTATCCCTACCCATCTCACCTCGTATGGTCACAACCAGCCTCTCCACAGAATGTTACACCTATTAAACCAACCTTAGTCCTACCTTTACTTTACCTGTTATCTATATTATATAATTGTATTAACTTATTTTCTACTTATGTAATTATCTAGTTTACTATACTTTTGTTAACTTAATGCTCTTCGGGGCGTATAATCATCATCAAATAAATAATTGTATGAACCATTGATTACAAATAATAGTACCTATATAACAATATAAGTAATAATAATAAAGTATACCGACCTATTTATTTTATAATTTATGGTATTGTAGTGTACGGACTATGGATAAGCGTTGAAATCGAATTTAGAAGACGTTATCGGCGCACATTACGGGGCAGGGAGCAAGAAAATATCACAGAATAATATTTTCTCAGGATAAATAATAATAAATAATTAAAACATAATAGCACAGAATAGAATAATCAGAAAGGACACTGATAAGAAATGACACAGTCACCATAGGTTGGTGTGAAAATCAGTCCACCGTGTATTTGGAGGAAAAATCAGTGTGACCAGTAGGAAAAAATAAATTATGGTACTTCATATGTGTTCAATTTTAACTGTATTTCAAGTTAGATAATTAATAGTTTTTAAAAGTTCATAATACAAACACAGAATAGTCAATAGAATAATAGATACAAATTTCAAAGTGACATGATTAATAATATACACACGAGTATCATGATTACGAACACTAACTATATATTAGGTAGGTATTCTTATATTAGAAAATAAATGATTAATTTAAACTGAATCAACTGTGAATCAACAACGCGAAAAGATGTGTAATCTGTTAGAAATGTTCTTAGATCATATACATTGTATATGATCTAAGGAAATGTTTGAATATTATTATCACTAAATTGTAAACAAATTTACAAATATGATAACAGTTTCCTCCAAAAACATGGCCGCTTTAATTCGACAAAATTATCAAAGTGTCCGACCCCTGATAATAGTTACCTACTATAATAATATAAGATTTCTGTTTTTATTTCATCCATACTATATTCGGATGTTTCATTGGTTCAATATAAGATAATATTATAATATTAATTATTAATAAGTAATATTTGTTACAACAGCTAAATTGAAAAGTAATAGAACTAATATTAATCTTTCATGCATAATTTGTGTAACTAATTATTACTGTTGAAATAATTATGCATAAAAAATATCATAAATCTGTTATATATTTTTTCAAATTAAAATTATCAATTTAAATTGTATATAATATATGCATATAATAAATAATCTTATAATTAAATATAGTATGGTAATATGTATGCGTCGCTCTAATTGGAGTTTGTATATTGTTGTTATCTATACACCGCAGTTATCAGTGTACCTAACAACAACAAGTAGGAACATACGTCAACGACGGTACGGCAGTGCGTGGCAAAGAACGGACGCCCACGGGTATATATAATATATTTACTTACTTACCTGCTCTTAGCCGATCCGCGGTATAATAAATACTACCTACTACTAATAATAAAAATATTTTCAATACGAATTTTCTGTACGTTTTATTCGCCGTTATCATCTATCACGATTTATTGTATTTATTCATCTATAATACGACATCCTTCCGTTTAGTTCCGACACTGGTTTGTACACCATCACCTATATCGTCAGCAGCGGTCACGCACCATCGTCAGCACTTACAATATAGGTACCTATATCGGCGATTATCACATCGACATAAATCGTCTTCGTTATGTACTCGTCGAAACCCGTGACCCATGTCAGACGGATGCTTTTGCATCGGGTCCTTCAGTGCCGACGGAAGAGGTCGTCGGCGGTGGCAGCGGCATCGAACGTAAAGGTCGTAAACGACGTGCGCCACGTCCGGGGCGAGTACGGCTGCGTGACCGACGCCGACGTCCGTCACTTCCGGTCGCTGCTGGGCGAACCGAACGTGCTGACCGGCGCCGAAAACGTCGGGCCGTACAACGTGGACTACATGAAACACGCGTCGGGTAAAGACAACAACTGCACTTTTTACAGTTATTATTAATGTGCATTTAAGTAGTGTCTGTGATTTCCGGCCACCGGGAGGATTAGACATTGAAACAGAATGCAAATACAAAACCCCTAAATAGTATATTATGTAACATGCAGGAGCAATGACGACACTATGATTAATATAATGCACTCGCGAAATGAACATAGATTGTGGAGAGGGATTCTTGTAAGAAGGTACTGACATCCCAATAGGTACACGTTTTGACAATAATTTGAGTTTTCTAACTCAGTATGGTACAACTAGGGGGGCTAGCGGGCTTAGCTCCCACGACTTCGATTTAGGCTCCCCCCCAAAAAATATTCCTTATTGATTTAGATTTAAGCCGCTTATGGGTTATTTTAAATTAATAGTTTTGTTAGGTGGGATATAGGCCCCCAGAATTTTGAACCTATGTCTACGGAAAGTGTGCTGTGTATGCAATTTATTCATAGAATTTTTGCCTTTTGATAACAGATTCTGATATTATTTTCTTATAAATGATAATGATTTCTTATCATTATTCGAGAAGACTTTAAAATTGACCAAGTTAATGTTTTACCCAAGCAATTCGTTTTTATCGGACTTGATAATAATAATTTGATAGGTAAGCGAAAAGTTAATCACCCGAGTTTGGAAAAAAATCCTCAACAATTATATTACTGTACGGCTATGGGAGTATTTTACCTATTTTATATTTTTGTTTAAACTATTGAATAATTTGATTAGTTTCCAAAAATATATCATACATTTAAACAATATTCACCCCTCAGTGTGAAATAAATCGATGGTCGTTGAACAAAAATGTTTAATGTTAACTCTAGCATTATAGTCACACTGTATAATACATCCAATGTAGTAATGTTGATAATAACGCTTTGGAGAGAGAAAGATACTCGTTCGTTTGCTGATTGTTTCCAATCGGTCAGAGTTCAAATAACTATCAACCATATAATACCTTCCTACATGGCTCTTTATATACCTATACGGCTGTACAATGCTATACTTTCGTGGTCGTGCATCAGCACGTACATGTTACATGTATATAGTCGTTATTGATTTTCACCACAATCCGTTTTTCTTTCAATATTCCGGCGCCGTAAATACGCACCATTTATCTTTGTGTTCTTCTCATTGTCGGGTTTTCTTTCGCACCGTTTAATTTCAAATCCCGCTGCTGAATTATTGTTTTCGTCCCACAGATGTACATATTATACATTCGCCCGCTCGTTCTGCTACGTTTTATCGCATCGTACTCATTAATTTCTTATAAACACACGACAGTACGACATGGCTATATAATTATTATAATAATTGTATTTCAGTTTTTCTTTATTTTAGGACATGGTATTATATGGTACAGGTACACAGAAGTTCATAACAAAAATTTAACTCGCCACGGCAATAATATTATGTTATTGATTTATTATTTTTAACGGTGCTGATTAAAACCAATTATTTCAAAATAATGATTCGGAGAAAATAAAAATATTTAGTAAAAACATGATAATTGAAATTATTGGTTGGCTGGAAAAGTTTTAAATTCAAAAATAATAATATTTTGAAAACTTAAATTGTTAATATAAAATATTTGTCTGAATTTGTAATTCATATAAACTAGGTACTACCTAAAGGATAATACATTAATAAACAATAATGATATTGAACATTATCACAGTAAAAATTAATAAATGTAAGTAAATGTGCCATTACATAATGCCAATTTTACTGTCCAAAATATTTATTCCAAATTACTATTTAGTATTTTTTGCTTTTATACTGATATTGTGATGGTAGGTATGTATTAAATAGAATGCATTTTACTAACTTTGTTTTTAAATGGTTTTATGTTATTATGTTATTTAGCTTGTATTTAAATTGTTTTAGTTATAATTTAAATTAGTTATTAGAAAATTATAATATGTGCATAATATTAGGTATATAAGATATATTATGTTTCAAGGTATATCATATATTGAATCATTATCAAATACCAACTAAGACCAAACATTATATACATCCATGAAACTAACATAGATATTATTATATAATTTACTTTTAAAAACATATTAAATACAAAAAAAATTACGAATAATGCGTAAAAATAGGTAGGTACTTAATGTAATTTAATTTTTGAATTCGTCAGTAAAATGCAATGAATTTATAACGTAGTTTGTAAGCACCGTAAACATTTATAAAAACATGCTAATCCTACAACTTCAGAGTACTAATTATTATAAATACACGCTCGGTGTCCATTAAAGTATATACACTTAGGTGGCGCAATATTTACACGGTATATTGCATCAGTATTATAATTTATATTACAAACAACATAGGTGTTGATCACTTTAAAATTAAAAAAATATATCTTTTTAATTCGAACATTAATAATTCCCGTGTTAAAACAAATCAATTACTAATCGAGTCATGTTGTACACACAGCACCACATTATCATAATATACAAACGAAATTATTCCAATAATCCAACCGAAATAAAAACTCGGTTAACGATTGTTGGGGTTATGTATTATATAACTACGTGATGAAAAATATCCCATTACGGTTGGTTTGCTGTTAATTATTGAGAACAAAGTTAATAAAAATTTTTAAAATGATATGAGTGTATATTGTGCTTGTGTCCGCCGTCCGGTGTGTGGCTGTGTGTTTTGTGAGTAATATGCATTAAATTCCAATTAGTTTTATTCTAGGGCAAGTAATAGGGTTGATACTGAATTTCAAATTTGAAGGGTTGACCAAGGGTGAAACCCATAAAAAATCTGTTGAAAATAAAATCGAATTATTTTCGCATAATGCGTGAAATAAAACGATGAACAAACTATTTACTTTTTGCGTGTATACCCTATACACCCGTAATCGTATAACTATTCATACAGCACGAACAGTTCGTCCTTATACTCAGCTTACAGTCAGATTATTTTTATGTATGGCCCAAGAAGGATATTTTCGGGGTACAAAATATACCCACTGCCAATAAATAGTTGAAATTGCCAATAAAATGTTTGTTGTATGCTCGTAAAAATAATATCGAGAGATATTTTGGGAGGGGTAGTGTATGACTGAAGTCCTCCCACAGAAGGTAACACTTCAGTGCTACTGTTGTGCGTATATTGTCGTTATTAGTTATCTTATAATTTATAAGTATACATTTTTACTCAAATATATACAAATCCGGAATCAATAGTTAGCTCTATACTACCCAACATGGCAATACAAATCTGAGAACCAACTATAGTGCATTTCTATCAAAAAAAAAAAAAACAAATACCATTATGGTCGGGGACCCAACTCGGATGCAGCCTTTTCTTTTATAATATATGACGGGATGACCCGATTCATCGCTTATAGCCGCCAACAAACTACAACCGCTGCACAAAAGCCGGACAACGATGGTCACGTTGAAATTGTATGGCTATAAAACGTACGAAATTAAATGCAAGCACACAATTTACATTATAGAATATAGATACAACTACCTATACAAGACTAGATTAAGTGTGGCTTGGGTGGTACGATCAAGGGGCACATAGATTTTATAGGGCCTCATTCAGACATTCCAGACATTTTCGTATAATACTAAGATATACAAAGGACGAATGGATATGTGCAAACTCCATTTACAGAGTGATTCACTAATCATGCTCACCCCAATTTTTCCTTTAATAATGAGTTTATTCAAATTCTAGTTTTTGGTATTTTCAAGTATACTTACACCCGCAGTTATCTCCGCCTAACAAGTGTACAACTACCAAATTTTAGTCAAGTTATAATAATTTTAAAATTTAAAAAATATACACAGCTTCAAGTGTGCCCGCAGGATAACATCCCACCACCGGAGCAAAATAAAAATTACTTTTAATCTAATATTAATTATAGCGATTAGCGATATTGATATTAAAGTACATGCAGTTAAACATTTCCAAGGGGGGGGGGGAATGGCCCTATTGACACCCACCTGAGGGCATCCATGCATAGTTTTAAAATGTTCACAACTTGTTTCATAATTAAAGTTACAATTAAAGCCTCCGAGATGCATGGCCAAAATAAGCTAATTGTTTGATGATATGGATTTGATCAACTGTTGATCTCCCTATCATGAACCCAGCTTGGTATTCTCCTATTATTTCTTTAATATATGGATTGATTCTGATCAGAAGAATGTTAGATAGAATCTTATAAGTTGTGTTGAGTAAGGAGATCCCCCTATAATTTTCGCACTCCATGATATCTCCTTTTTTAAAAACAGGACATAGGACAGATACTCTCCACGATTCGGGTATTTCCTCTTGTTCCCATATTATGTTTATTAATTTATGAAGTTGGTTAATTAAGCATGGTCCACCATTTTTTAAACATTCTGATACTATTTCATCTACACCTGGTGCTTTACGATTCTTAAGCATATTTAATCCCGTTTCTAATTCATTTTTTGACGGGGCTTCGAGTAGCTGTTCTACAGTCGTTAACTCGTTTACAGTGATATTAATTATTGGCTGGTTCAAAAGCTTTGTAAACATATCTTTGAATTCGCATGCGATCTCTCTGTTGCCTGTTAGGAGGGTTCCATCACTTTTCCTCATAACATTTGGTCTGGGCTTGTATCCATGTCTTACTTCATTTGCTTTTCTAAAAAATATTTTCGAATGGCTACTTCTATTATTTTCTATATTTTGTATGCGTTCTTTTTCCCATAGTCTCTTATTCGATCTAATCACCTTTTTTACCACTCTTTGTTTAAGTGCCAACAATCTTTTGCTATCTTCATTGGGTTCATGTAGTACTTTCATTCGGGCTCTATCTTTTTCATGTAAAGCTCTTTTACATTCTTCATTGAACCACATTTTCCTTGTTTTTTTCTGGTATGTACCCAAGTACTTCTTCAGCTATGGTTTTTACTGTTTGTTCTATTTCTTTCCATGTTTCACTTATATTTGGTCTTTCTTGTATATTCTGTATTTTCGACATTAACTTTTCTTGATATACTTTAGCTGTTGATGTTTACAGTGCATCTCTATCTATTTTCCCTTTGTGTTTCTGTTTCTTTCGCCACTCTGTAGATATTCTGATGTTTATTTTTGCTCTAACAAGGAAATGATCTGACATAGCACTACTCCCTCTCATGCTTCTTACATCTCTTATACAGGACTTAATCCGAGAATCAACTATTATGTGGTCTATTTGGTTTCTTACATATCCACATGGTGAAATCCATGTTTGTTTATGAATATTCTTGTGCGGAAAACATGTGGAACTTATAGTCATATTCCTGGCAGCTGCAAATGAGATCAACTTATAGCCATTGTCATTAGATTCCTCATGTAAGCTTTCAGATCTAATTGTTGGTTTATATATCGTTTCCTTTCCAATTTTTGCATTAAAATCTCCAATCACTATTTTCGGTTTATCAGCTGGTAAAGAATCGGATAGCATGTCTAAACTATCATAGAATTCGTTTTTTATCTCCTCATTTTTATCTTCAGTGAGTGGATAACAGTTTATTAGGATAAAATTGTGCCACAGGTTTGAAATTTGTAATTTGTGGTAGTAAATTGTCTTTAATTATAAACCCTACACCTCGTTCGTGTTTGTCCTCACCGCTGTAAAACAGAGTCATTCCTAGAGACTTCAAGCTCACTGAACTTGTCCATCTTACTTCTTGAATGGCAGTTATATCCATCTCGTATCGCTCAAGACACGATTGAGATGTCGTCAAAGCTCCAGTCCTAAACAAAGATCGCACGTTCCAGGTTCCAATTCGTAAGTCCGTTATCTCTTTCATCCGAGGCTTAGAATAATGTTGTTGTTTCTTAACATTTTATTTTTTTTAAGTGGTAGGGTCGTCGGCCCTACGCACAACCCCCAACCTGGAGGACCAGTCCACACCAACTAATTAAAGTCAGCGTGGGGCTCGGGGCCCCGGGTTCGCCAAACCCGTAGTACTAGTTGCTTAGTACCCCCCTGAGGGGAACAGTTGTATACTGGAAAGTATTTTTTTGTCAGGAACCAATTCGACGTTTGCCGATGTAGGTATCTAAATCAAAAATCCAACGAGTAGTTTCTGAGTTATTAAAATGGATATACAAATACAATATATACTAGGGCTAATATTTCTCAAAAATATAATATATATATATATATATATTATATTATAGATCTAGTATCCATTATACTAGGTATAGGACAATTTCTATAAATTATAAAATGTTGATAGATTATTAAAATGTTCAAATCATCATAGCCCACATGGCCCATATCTTCCTAACCCAATAGTCCCACTATCATTTTAAACAAATTCGCGATAAAATTAAAACTAAACAAACGTTTTATTTTTCCACATATAGCTAGTAGTATTCGCATAATATATAGTAATAATATAAAAAACCATTCATGATCAATTAATAATAAAATAAAATTATAAATATAATTATAATCAACTCCATTTCTTTATGACATTATTTGTACTTTTACAATATATAATATTTATAATGTTAATATAGTATGTATTTTTAGCAGTAAGTCAGTAAACTTTAATGATGTGAAATTATAAATTACTATTCCAAAATATCCTAATAATAATATCCCCTAATTTCGCTAATGGCACACATTTTAAAGAAAACGTTGAGAGTACACACAATAGAGAACACACAATAGTGTGTTGCGTGTTGATGGATATAAATATATAATATAAAATATTACATATATTTTTTATGATTGTTTTCATTATTATTATATTAACTATATCGTCGTTGTTGTTGTTGTTATTATTTTCATTATTATTATTGTTATTGTGTTTGATTGATGTGTGCGTGTGTACAGGCGATAGCGGACTGGTGTTAAGACCGAAAACCGCAGAAGACGTGTCGGACATACTGAAGTACTGTAACGACAGGAGCATTGCGGTGTGCCCACAGGCGGGCAACACGAGCGTGTCGAGCGGTAGCGTGGCGCTATTCGATGAGGTGGTCTTATCCACCGAGCGGATGAACAATATAATTAATTTCGATCCTGTGTCCGGTAAGTAGGCGTAAGTAAGATAAAGATTATTAAAATCATAGCCATTTCTATTCCTATTATATTATATAGGTAACATAATAAAATAACGTCATTGTATTATATTATACGGTGTATAATTACGACCAGTGGCGTGTTCAACTCATTTTTGGTGATGAGCAAAAATGTATACAAGGTACACACCCACCCACCCCCCTTGATGTTTATTGACGGAATTTCCAACTCAGCACAAATGTACAAATATGCGTACATTTGTAACGATTTGTATAATCGGATATGATATTTCTACGATATACCTAGTCACCTAGCGCCTAGGTGGCTAGGTATTTTGTGTCAGAGGACCACCCACCAAACAACAATTTTGAAGGAGCAATTGCTCCAAAATAATACCTTCGACACGCCACTGATTACGACACACAAACGATAAATGTAATGTTGGTTTTCGAAAACCCTATTTTAATAATGATATCCAGGGAATGTGGAAAAAAATATTATTTACGGGGACGGTGATGAGCACTCTGTATTGTATTCTCGCATGCGTGTGGGTGCGGTTCTCGGGCGAGGCGGCGCCAAAACTAAGTAGTAGCAATAGTGTAATACAGTATATTATAGGAGTTTTTGTGGTATATGAGTTATTATACTATATACCTCTGATATAGTCGTATAGACCATGTTGTGAACGCCTATTTAAAAACATGCTCATCAGTGTTGTATTTCTGGAGAGTATATATAGAAATACCGTATTTGGCGTATTTACTCCACACAATATCATATTATAATACCTATGTATAGTACATAGGTACCTACCATTATAATATCATATTATACCGTAATACGCGCATTATTTAAGGTAATATCTGTTCAGGATGATATTATATATTCTGTGGTGTATAACTCCAATACTTTGGCCTGGGAAATCTTCAATGTTCTTATAAGCTCATTATGATAAGTATAATGGGACGAAGTAGGTATAGGAGTATACCAATTTTTTCAGTCTTTTGGCTATGCAATTAATTTTTTCAGTAATAACAAAGATGCAATCCTCCTCTATCGAAATTATAGAATTATAGTTCTATACTTACTAATTTCCACTCTCTGCCAACACACTTTTTCACAAACAAATAACTTAATACCTAATTTCAGACAAACCACAAATGCAAATAGTTTAATACAATTTTCGAATTTTCGACAAAATAGACAAACTAAGGATTATATTTTTTTGGTCGGAGAAAATGTAGTTTGATATTATATTTTGGCCAAACTTAGTGAACATTTCTAGTTTCACATGACTATAAACTAGGTATAGTAAAAGTTTAGGCAATAATAATAGTTACACGTGTTTGGTGTTTGTCTAATAAATATTTAAATAACTTCTCCATAATAATCATGAAAAAAAAATATCTAGGTGAGTTTTTAATTTTAACTTAACGTAAATATGACTTACCTATTATTTTTAAAATTAACTTAAAAAAGCTATGCTATAAATTATTACAATGGACAAGGATAATTCATCTAGTTAAGCTATTAAGTTAATTAAAGAAATAACTATAACTAGTTAATGCCACTTTTACTAGCACATATGGCGTGACGCGCATGAAGTTGAAAATGCCTGTGGTTTTACTCATATTGTGCCATAGTGATGGCACGTGAGCGTAAAATTGGCAACAAACAAACATATTTAAACAAAAATATAATTTTCTCATGAAATATTGAACGCAATACAAACTAGTTAGAAAATTTCGATAAAATATATGTAAAACATTTATGAAGATTTAATTAATTTTTATCTTAACGCAGCTGTGCCTCTACATTATATATTTTGCAAATAATTTGTCCATTTTCGCTAATAGATAACAATGTTTGACAAGCTTATTGTTTATGTTTAGGTCCCTACATACTATAAGGTGGTTGTACAATGTACATACTACAAAATGATTCGACCATATGTGAGTGTACAGCAGTTGACACTATAGGCTCTATATAGTTCCTATACTATAAAAATGGGTAGGTATACACCAACACATACAACGCGAACAAACAAAATATTAATACATTATAATAATTATTATTATTATACAGTATAAATGATGATAAACTTCTAAATTAATAATTTATGATATTTAATCATAATATATTATGTATATAGTATATAATATATAATATATAATAGTATCAACTGACAACTATCATTCAAACATGAAACATGTCATCACTGCACATAACACTAGGTATACTTATGATTATAAGCAATATAATAAAGGTATATTGTGTAATATAACATTTACAAATCCGCGGATGGAGACGAGAATTGATTCGATAGTAGAACAATATTTTACGTCATTTACTACCTCTCCGCGGCTCACCTAAGCTTTAAATTCTAGTTCTAACTAACTATAGTACATTTACGTTCAAAATATGATTTTTATATTGTATTGAAATTCTCCGAAGAATATTCGGCATAGGAATATGAGATTCTACATTTTTTTTCATTTTTAAAAACATTGTTTTGTTCTTACTTAGAATTGTGTAAAAAAAAATGTATTTTCAAAAACCTTTTTGAGAAAATTGGTGTTTACCTTTAAAAGGTACACGTTGTAGGTATACATATTTAACTATATATATATATAGACCTAACTATATAACATTGTACGATTGTCATCGCGAACCCTTAGTTTTGATGCCAACATATAGTACAATATTTAATCATGCATCAATATACAGCTGCAGACCTACCAGTTATGATTACCAAATATAATAATATACGAGTAATATAGTCAATAGTGACGAAGAGTAACTCGTATACAGTATAATATATTACAATATAATATAATATATAGGCACTCATAAATGCATACGCATCATATTATGTACAATACAATGATAAATACAATGCCGTGTACCGTTTTACAGGGGTGTTGGTTTGCGAGGCGGGATGCGTGCTCGACTCGTTGATGAAGTACGTGGATGGCCACGGGTACATGATGCCTTTGGACTTGGGGTCGAAGGGCAGTTGTCAGATCGGCGGCAACGTGTCGACCAACGCCGGCGGCATACGCGTCATACGTTACGGCACGCTGCAGGGGTGCGTCTTGGGCCTAGAAGCCGTAAGTCGATAAATAGAAAAACAGAAGGGTGATAGGGTTTAGTCGAGTAAATCGCCGCCATTGCAATTCCTCGACAGGATCAAGCCATGGGGCTGCGTATGGCACGCGTATATATATCGTCCCCGATCGACGGTTCGTTAGGTCCTGTGCTCGATGAGTGTGTGTGTTTTACTCGCCACCCCCTCACCGTCAATATACCGTATGGTTTTATTCGATTGATGAGATCATAATACATATATATATATACACATGTGTGCCAGTGTGACCCCCGAGAGGGTTTTGTGTGTGCATCCGACCGGAAAACCCTGTGGGGCTCGTGCACTCACACACGCCGCTGCAATATATACGTATTTATGTGCGTGTGTGTGTGTGTGTGTGTATGTGTACTTATTACTTCGCCACGTGTAGATATTATGTGTGCATAGAGTAAAGCCGGCGATGATGATGATCACGGTGACATGGTGACGGTGTATATTTAGTGCGATGGTTGTGTGTGACTGAAAACTGCGACCATAGGTCCGAATAAATTTCGTTGCACGGAAGCTTGCGGTGGACTGCACTAATGCACTATACTGTCTATACTGAGTCGTTTGAGTTTTTTAGCACTCTTATGATGGAGTGAAAAAAATTAACGTGATGACTATTATGATACCGTAACTGTTACTTATGATAATACACGGGTATATAACAATACTCAGTAATAATAATGATCAATTTACGTGTTGCACATTATATATTTCATTAAAAAACATTATGTGATAAATAATAATTGCAAGAATAATAACTGCAAGTCATGTTCCAAACTTACTGCCCACTCCGCGCGCGATGTGCGTACAACAAGTATTTTTCACGGTCGATTTGTCGTAATAAGTACTAACAGTATAATATAATCGTTTTAATCCAGGCGTTTATACATGGGTACGTAAATGCGGCCCCTTACATTCTCGATACGCACGCTATAAACTCTAATAGGTACATATAGGTATATAATAATAATATATGTTTTCGTAATCCGTTATAAGATTATACCCATCGGCTATAATATTATATATTATCATAATACTACCGGATTGAGAACGAATGAATGATGGTGTCTGCGGTTGTTTTCAGCGACTGTCGTTCACAAATATCGCACTCGTACCATAGGCGCCATTTGGGGGGGTCTATGGGGACTTAGCCCCCTCTAGTTTTATTTAAGCCCCCTTAAGTTTTTAAATATATTCATTTTTATATCCACCAAATAAAAAAATGATGCGGGTCTGTATTGATTTTATAAATTTAGAACCTCCCAAATCAGTTGTCCAAATTGCGCCTATATGACTCCCACGCATAGTTTATATTTTGTAGTGGTGCCGCGGTGAACGGCCTTTGGAGGGGTTTTCGTTGATAATTTTGTACTCTATCCCAAGGCTTTTTAGTGTTTTTTTTTTTTACATGTTTTCTGAGTTTTGGTTAACAAAACATTCACGTGCGTATTATTGCTATTATTATACGCCTAATGTATTCTAAAACTGAAACGGACAGAACTGAACTGCTTAAATAATAACGTAAGAAAATGTAAACACGCAAAACGAAAAATAATGTGTATCATTAAAAGTTGAAACACAAAACGGAAAATGACTATACGTAGACCTGTTTGTTTATTTAATACACCACACCGCGCTTTTGGTAAGTGAGCGGGTGAAAAGGGCAGCCCCTTCGCTTTGCATCGATATAGCTGATTACAATCATTTTGTTTTAGGACGATAATATTATACATTTATATACTATGGGTCGACAGAAGTTAAATATACATTTGTATTTATATAAACCGCCGTAGCTGTATGTATTAACATTTAACACTGACGAAGCCTCGCAAAACGCGATCACGTGACACGAAGGTTTCTATAGCACGGTAGTCCGCCTAATCGACGTGTACAAAATATTACATTTAAAACAATAGTGGTTAGTGCCCTTTACGCCTAAATAAACGCGACGGATCGATTGAAATAATTACCGTGAATAGTACCATTCGTCGTAATAATAATATCAAATACAAAAGAGTGTACGTATAATCAATTAATTTTCTAAATTATGACAACTGCTACGTGTAATTTTACTGGGAAGCCCACTGTCCAAAGTATCCTTTAGTTTTCTTTGAACTCCAATCAGTGTAAACGTATCACACTTTAATGCGATATTTCAGCAGCTCTGTCAATACTACTGAATAGGTACTAATACGATTTAAGATAGTATGGTTGGCCAACGATCCGTTATCAAAGTGCTATCTGGTTATCATATGATCGACGATATGAATCCGAAAGTCACGTGATCTGGTCACTTTTTTTTATCTACAGCGCCACCGATGGAAAAGTTAAATTTGTTAAAATGTTATTTAAATAGTAATTAATAATTGTTGTTTATTTAGTTATTTACATATAATATTGGATAATTAATGTAGCCGTGTAGCTACAGACTTTAATAAGATGAGTATATGACCCGTAAAAAAAATAGTCCACTAAGAGCGCTAGTAGTGGAATCTGGATTAATTTCTCATGCCATCTTATCATGGCTCGTTGGGCAACCATACTATCTTAAATCTTGCTAACTACCTATATTCTTGACGATATCATATATTCATATCATTAATGTACGGTTCTTTATGTTTTGCTACAAATACCTACTAAATTATACATTTATACGTATGATTAATACACTCACTTTAAGCAAGTTTTTATATCTCCCATTTCTACACTCATTCGTCATTCACAATTACTTTCTAAGACACCAAAAAAAAATTTTAAAAATAATAACACTCCACCCACAACATGTGCATTGGTGCCAACAAAACGGAATTATATCAGGTCCTTAATAAAATTATCCTAGTCCGAAAATATCAAACTACAGTATTTGCTATTTGCACCACATGAGGAGAGTACCTTTTTTTTTCATCGCTACATGGGGGCTGGACTGTTTTCAGATGGCTCAGCCCCTATGTAGCATCTTTTAATAAATAAATAATTTATACGATTTTGGTTGATCTCATGTGCTGGAGTTTACTTTCCCCAACAATGAGGTACATAATAATATCTGCTAAAAGCAGTAAGCTACAAACATCATGAAATATGAGGAGAGCCCCTGACGGCTGACTGTCCAGAATAGCTGAACAGTCTGTAGATAATGAAGTCAAAATCTAATTCAACATTTCCCCTATTATTTCGTTGTTACTCGTCCCCTCATCCAACCTACTGGTACTTCTCAAAAAGACTGAAATTTAAAAACTTATAATATTTACCCATACTCAGGGTTGGGCAAAATAGAATACTCTTAAAATTATTTTTAAATACTAAATACATCTATTTTCATCGAATATAAATACAAGGTATAAAATACAGTAGACTTCAATAAGTGAATACATAATACAAAATATATTTATTGTATAACCCAAATTTCAAACGTTTTCCTTATAGGTAATGTATTGTAATCAATTACATATTATATTTTTTTGTAACAACCAATGGCCTGCCTTCTAAACATGTAAAAAATGTGAACGAGTGTTGGTGGTTACATTATAAATAAACCCATAGGTACCTACTATAATTGGCGGGAAACGGATTGTAATGTTTTTATTTTCCTCTCTCTGTGTTTTTCGTTGCGTCAAAAACAAATAAAAAACAACGATGGAAAAACGCAACATAATAAACTGCGCCTTGACGGCGGTGGTGGTGGCAAAATGAGTTTGAACGGTCGAAAACGCGGCTTTGGGGCCCTAAACTTTCCCTTAATTACGTGTGTTTTCATTGGCACCGAAATCGGAATTGGTATGCACAGTGCGTATACGGTTTCCACGGAATGCCACAGCCTCCTCTTTCCCCCTCGTCCACACCACCCCATCGGTACCCAAACGACATCAGTTCCCTCTCAACCCCCACTTTTGTAATTGCGTATGTCTGCCACCGTCGCCGGTGATTTAGCAATCGGCCCGACGCTCAATTAAGTGGGTTCGGTTTTTTCTTTTAACTTTAACTTTTTCTTTTTTTTTAATCAAATCAGTGTTTCATGTTGTTCTTTTCCTTTTTTTTTTATCACCCAGACATCCACTGAAACTCTCGAGGCTCACTATAATATACCCACGACGCCAACCCTCTTTTTATTTATTAAAGCCATTTATTTTTTTTCCCTTTTTATTTTTACTAAATTTGACTGGAAGGCTGTGAACGAGTTTTTTTTTAATTAGACGCAATCTCGGTTCATATTATTTAGTTATATAATATGTTGTACTGCATTATATTATATACATTATATACACCGTAATTATTATCATAAAAATATTAATAAACTTTGAGGTGAGACGAACATTTTTAAATATTTATACTAGAGGGCAAAGCAAATGAGTGCTGAAGTCCGTAACGAGTGTACGTAGGGAACAACAAATATTTTATTATTGACGCCACTTAACAATGCCTATTATTATCATTATTATTATAATAATATAGTTTAGGTGTTTACTATTTAAAATACGTGTTTCGCTGTAGTATATAAATGGATAATATCACTGTCATTATTGAGTTATACTGTTAATACCAACTTAATAATGATTATCTACCTATTATTTATTGGACGTTGTTTATTTTCTTATCCCAAACATCCATATCGATATTACTATTTCCACCAAGTATTAATTAAATATTATTGATATTTATTTAAAAAATAAGAAGATAATTTTATTTAACCGTATAGGTCACCGCAGATGGTACGATTTTGGACTGTTTAAATACAATGCGAAAAGACAACACGGGATACCATTTGAAGCATTTATTCATTGGTTCAGAAGGCACGTTGGGAATTGTCACCAAAGTGGCGATATTGTGTCCAAATCTCCCGAAGCACGTAAACGTGGCATTTATCGGTAAGAAACCATAATTGTATCTAATAACTTTATATTATTTTAAATCATCAATAGGTCTAAAGGCTAATATGATGTAAAATTATCATAAAACTAACAAAAAGGGGGGGGAGTAAGTAACCCCTCTGTTCTACACTAGGAGTCTAGTGTTTTCGTCATTGAGTAATGAGTACCTAGGCACTAAAAAGGGTGTGTTAAATTTGAATTCAATGATAAACTAATGTATAATTGTATACGAAGAAAAAACGATTCCGAGCGAAGACATTCTAACTTTTTGGTTACCATGGTTACCTACAAAGTATAACTAGAAACCATTTTCAACCAGAAACCACCCCCAAATTCCAAAGTTGAAAATCGAAGCGTATTTACTGTCCCAAAGGGTGATGACAGACAAAAAAACACACTTCGCTGTAAAATCAATACCGTTCAGAATCACGGCCGGCCATCCAAACTGTAAATATTTCTTTTTTAAAAATGCTGCATAAAATTTTGACTAGTTTAAGTAACAAATAATTTAATTAACAATGATGTTTTAATAAAATGATTTTTTTTAACAAATTCTTTGTGGCTAATAGCCATAACCCAAAGAATGTCATCAATTCTTGCGCATTTTCCCTAAAATTAAACTATAATTATTCCACTTAATGCTTACTTAAGAAAAACAATTAATGAAAGCGTTTGTGTACTTTGTTCAAAATATGGTCACAGAGATTATGCGTGTGGCAGACTGCAATGTTACGCTGGTGGTCGGGTTGATGATACTATGATAGGATAAGTGTGAATAGTGTTTGTTTGTTGTTTAAATTATGACTGGCAAATTAAAACGATGTGACACTGCGTTATCACATTAAATTTAATATTTATTAATTTTACGAAAAGTATCAAACATACTTTATGAAAATATAAAAAATTAAAATCATCTTTGTATGTACATCTATTTTTAAAATAAAGTTAGGATCTTAAAAATATATTATATTAAAATAATTAACTTAATTATAATCAATAATTATTATCGTCATTAAGTACTAATATACATTGGCTATTGTACATATGTATTTTGTCACTTTAAACATTTTGTTCTTTGTTACACATAATATTAGAAATAGGAAAATGTAGATACAATTTTATATATAACTAGCTGATCCCGCTCACTTCGTCGCCCGTAAAAAATGACAAAGCTTAAAACATACTATGTCGGATTACGGACAGTGTGCAACAGCATATCAAGTAGGCAATCCACATGTGGTGGATTGCAGACACGCCGATCAGCGGCTATAAGTACAACTCAGCCACCTTTGTAGGCAATGTGTGGAAATTCGATTTGATACTAATGATACCTAATAAAATAATAAATACTATATTATAATTTCTTCTATTTATTTCTCCTATAACCAATATCAACCATTCATAAATAAAAAATGTCCAACTTAAATCTCAAAATTCCTGTTTGAGCACTTCCTCAGGTTGGACTTTATTTATAAATGCCTATGACACTCACAAAGAATGTGGCTTTCAATTGGTGAAAGAATTTTCGAAATCAGTTGAGTAGTTCCAGAGATTACCCTCAACAACGTCAACTAACAACTCCCCTTTATATATAGGTAATAGTATAGATTATTATTATTAACATTATCTTTTTATTATTTAATATTACCTATGGTAAATATATAACTTTCAAAATAATTTAATAAGTATAAATTATAAAAACAAATATCAATATTAATAGTACCTATAGTTATTAATATTTACTGAAGAAATTAAAAGAATTGTTTCATTATTTTATGTCAATATCAAAAATTCAAAATCACAGAATTCTTGTCACTGGAAAAAATTAATACTAAGGTATACTATACTAGAGTTATAATTATTTAAATTTATAATAAGATGGAAATCCTGCAGCAACATACTCATCTCGTGGAAAAAAACATAGTCTATATATCAAACTTTTCCCAGAAACCTAACACCCATAACACCATAATTTATACCCATACTAGATAGTAAATATACTACACACATACATAAGTTAAATATTTTTACAGTTTAAAATCGTACTCGTAAGACATTTCATAGAGATAACGCCAGATAAGTCCGATATGTTTTAACTGTTTTACGTAGTAAAAAATACCTTACTATATACTATAATACCTTTCCACAAGCGAATGCCAAATATTAAATGTTTTGAAAATAATTTTTTGGTAAGCAAGTCCGTCGCGGAAGTCGATGGCTGTTTCCTGTTCTTAAGGGTTTTTTGTATGTATACATCGTCGGTTAAAACTATTGTATAAAATATATTGCATTACATATTTAGTATTTACATAATTGATAATTATAATATACAATATACAGGTTGCTCCACAAAAATACTCGAATTTAAAAACTAATATACGCATACCCTAATTTCAAATCTTTTTCCTTAGGTAATGTATTTTAATACGCATAAAGGTCCTAATCAATGTATTTTAATCCATGGATTGAAATGCATTGAATATTATATATATTGTAACAACTAATGGCCTGATGCCAAATGAATTCAATAGCCTGCTATGTAAATTACACAAAATGTGAGTGGTAATTTGTGGTTAAATTATAAACGAATCCATATGGGTATACCTACTACAATTGACAGGAATCGGATTGTAATGTTTTTCTTTAATCATGGCATTTTCCTATTTTCCTGGGAACGTATAATGAGAAAACGGAAAACCACCCTGTAATTATTTTATACACCTATATTCTACCCATCAGTTACGTTATACATTAGTATATAAAGGTACATTTCGCATCCTTTTTATTTTTATCCAAACGAACAAAACGTCTATAAAATAACACGCAACAAACTTATAATAATTTACCACCGCCAATACCCCACTGTTTAATGGTGAACATTTTCTGCTTTAAGTAATTTTTCGTATACATAGTGTCATATATAAATTATACTGTCATATAGAATATGATATATAGACGTACTGTCATCACTGTATAAATTGTAGGTACAGTCGTGAATCTTTATGAATTCCAGCCGGGAACGCATTCACTATAAATAATTTTTTCCATTTTTATATAATTTATCTTTAATTTGAAGTTATTTTTTTTATAAACAGGATTGGACAGTTACGATAAAGTGCTCAAATTGTTTTCCATTGCTCGTGCCGAGTTCGGAGAAACCCTGTCGTCATTCGAACTCCTGGACAACACGGCTGTGACGTACGTGGAAAGTAAACTTAATTTCCTGTGTCCGATCACCAATGTCCATCCGTTCTATGTACTCATCGAACTCGCTTCAAGTCAACCGACTGTCGGCCAACACATGGAAAATGTCCTAGAAAAAGCTCTAGGTGAGTCGGTGATCTCCGATGCAACAACGACCGATCAGATGTCCAGCATACACGTAACTATTTAGTTTTTACATATAACTCATTGGTTATAGACCACTTAAATTATATAGTTTTATTTACCTTATCATGAATATAATATATAATACTTTTAGTTCGGTTGTGATTAAATGGTATAAAAATTATATTTATTATTTTATTTTTCAGAAAATATGGAAAGTTCGTGAAACAGTAATTGAAGCATTATTAAAGTTGGGCTACGTGTACAGCTTCGATATATCGTTACCTCTGAGCCGATTTTATGAAATTGTTGAGCTAACCCGGGAAAAACTTAAGGACTTTGCAGATGTCAAAGCCGTTTGTGGATTTGGTCACATAGGTGAGTTAAATAAATTAATAGAAATAATTAGTATAGACGACAAATTTTTATATCAGCTATTATGATCATTTATTATTATTATTATTATTATTATTATTATTATTATTATTATTATTATTATCATTATCTTTATGGCTGAAGTCCATGTACAAGTCAATATAAGTGATATAACTGAAATCAAAACACACTGAGGTAGAATTTCATACAACACAATCATTAGGTACCTACTAAATGCCCATTAAATTGTAATATATTTGAAGTAACAATAAATAATATGATATTGATAAAAGATAATTCCAAAAAACATAAAACACTATTAGAGTGTTTATATATTGTTCTTTTCTGTAGAATCTAAGGCTTAGATTAAGTACATAATCAGTAAATCGACATATTTTTATTCCGATATAAATTGCTCATAACATGATTTATTGTATTTATTCATTATTGTAGGTATCTATGTTTATTGTTTATTGACTATGCATTATTTTTAGCTTTTTAGTAAGCAATATATATTTAAAAAAATAATATTTGATCGATTTATCTCTTAGTATACTATTCTTATATGATAGTTAAATTTATTGAAACAAATTAAAAATGTTCTTATTAAGCTATTATGAAGCTATTTTCATTTTAAAACATTCTATTTCAATATAAACACAATTTACAACTGAATATTTAATTAACTATTTAAATATTTATATTTTTATGATGATTATTAATATCGAAATATATTATTTTTATTTAGCGTTTATGAACTTTTACAACATAACTTATTTAAAATCAAATGTAAGGAAATATGGAACTATTGATGATGGAAATACTTAAAACTTATTTGTAGCTATTTAATTCATTATATAAAGTTAATTCTATCATACTAATTACTATATGTCTATATACCTAAGTATATATTATATACTTATTACTTAGGGTCTCTGTACGTATATTTAATGCAGCAGGATAGGTTAAAGGGTGGACATGGGGCACTCGTTGAGTCTAAGTTAGAATATTTTTAATACAGAAATTATTATTCTTTAGCCATAATTCTCATAAAATATAAATAAAATACTAAAATTCTGACGCCGTCATTGAACAATTAAATTAAATTGGATATAATATGTTTTTTGGATTGTTTGTTTTTTGTTTTATTACTTATATAATATATATGATATATCTGGGTAATTAAGGACGAACAAAACTATTAAATAAGTAATTGATTATAATAAATTTATTTAATTCTACCACATGCGGACAAGTACATAGGTCATAACTTCTTAGTGAAAATCAAGTGTTGAAGAATACGATCTACACAAATAAATTGGTAGTTAGGTCGAGGTTCTAGTTTATCCAAAATAATTCATTTATGAATGACTCCATAAAACATTTTTTTTTATTCCCCTAATAATTCTGGGTACAACTAATAATTATAGGCTATCGTACTTTTATTAAATTATATAAATCAAAAATTCTAAGCAATAATATAGTGGAAAATAAAACGATATAATAAATATATTGACATAGATATGTTGATTTATATTCTATAGGTACCATATTACCATTTACCATCATGTTAAAAGTCACGGTTTTCAATGTTTATATTATAATACAACCACTGCGCAATCGGTCACAAAAATTGACGTCAGTCATGATATTTTCCTGTTTTTGGTAAACAAATGAAACCGCACTTGGATGATAAACCAACAGTGCGTGTAAGCTATGCTGAAACTAGGTTAGTCATATATTTGACTTGGATCTTACGATGGCAATTCTAAAACCCTGTATAACAATACCCGCCGAGTTTACGTGAGCTTTCACGTCATAGGTACCTCCCCAACCCCACCCCATGAAACTGCAGTAATACGGACAAATGTCAACGGGGTCACCGACTGAATACCTGCAGCTTAAACAGATAAACTTGTTTAATTTCATCTGCCCAAGCAACATAATATAGATATAATGAATTATAAGTCAACTGCACTACTATACGTACACCAGACTTTCACAGGCGTGAATTATTTAATGTTTGTTTTTTTCTTGAGAACAGAAGATCTTTAGGTCCTGGGTAGTTGGGTGAACAACTATTAGTTGCCTGAAGATTACAAAAAGTAAAAGTCATAAATATATAGTACTTCAGAGGAGCTTTACAACGTTAAACAATTATTTGCCATAATAATAAATAATATTTCTAGCCTTTTCTAGTTCCCTTATGGTTTCAACGGTATACAAAAAGGTGTTCGACCGTAATAGTTCCTCCGCCAGTTTAACACAGTATTGGTTCTTCCCTGGGCTTAAGATGACCATGGAACAGTTTTGAGTGACCTATACGTACTCTGTTTATATTGAATGAATAAGTTTTAGGCTAGTAAGTGGTAGTATTTTTGATTTCTCTGAGTTTTTTATTTGATGTACCCCGCCATTTGGATTCCCATAAATTGGTACAATAGGTTCTAACATTCCTATGGATGTCAAAAAGTAAGGATAAGGTGTGCCTATTTCTGTCATACTGTTTCTCGAGCTACTTTGTCAGCTTTCTCATTGCCATCAATATCACAATTAGCAGTATGTTCTTGTTAGCTTTTGCAATGATGTTACTTATTTTAATTGCTAGGGTGCTCGAGTGCAAGTTATACTTAAAATTATTAAGGGAACTGAGGGAATATGTACAAATGTTAACAGTAGAATCAGGAAATTGAATGGATACGTGGACTCCCTCCATGAGTGCAATGTATTCCACTGTATAAATAATATTATGGTCTAACTTTTTTTCAGGGCTTGAAACCGCTCCTGAAGAAATAGATTACCGGGTCCGGTAGGACCCGGAAAATTTTTTGGAACCGGTTACCGGTTATCGAGGTTTTTAGAAATAATGATAATCATTTCCCGCTTACCGAAATAAATTTTATAAATGGGATTACCGGTTATCTATTTGGAAGCGGTTTTAAATCTTCAAAATTACCGGTTACCTCACAAAACCGTTTTTTTTTTTGTTTTTGTTTTAATACCTACTCTATTTTTTTTCATCAAACTTAACATGTCATTTTTGAAACTATTCATGCATTTTGTTGTGGTATGACTGGAGATAAGAAGAGGCGTAAAAAAAAAAGATTAAAAACAACAACTACATAAAAGTAGTAGGTATCTATATCTATTGTTCTTCTTTAAGATACATAAAAACTTAAAAATATAAAATAAATGATAACAGTTTTATAATTATGAAAAAAATTAAAATACAAAACATTTTATCAAGTAAACAAGTTCAAACTTAGTACTTGAAAAACTCCAAACAATAAACAAATAAAATAGTCTCTGTAGTCTATACTCTATACAGTAGAGTGTATCACTGTATACTAAAAATATTAAACATTAAACATAAACATTTAAAATACATATTCAATTTCCAAACCCATCTTATTCGCTCTTATAATCATAATTTCGTTCAGCAAATCAGATGATAATGATGAAACAAGACTAAAATAAAATAGATTTTATTTTATCATAGATGGTGACAATATTTGGTTATTAACATTTGACTATTATAGTATTATCAGTTAGTAGTTAATACGTATTATTTGGTATGGAATATAGCTGACGGGCGAGTAGGCACGGTAATAGCACTAATAAGTAATATATGATTACACAGTTTTGTTCAGTATTACTATTATTACGAACTAATGTAACGAACTTATTATTAAATAATGAATATCAACAGTCCCTGATTATAAGTTATAACGTACCTATTACCTAGTACTTGGTACAATATCGTACATGCAAGGGTTATATACTATTATATATATATATGTATCAGCCCGCATTCGTCGATGTTTCTACCATTCGTATCAGTATTCTGAGAATAGTATAGTACTGAGAATCTTTTGTTAGTGCGCCGATACGATTCCGCAATCAAACACGCTTGTTTTGGTATTTTTAAATTTTAATACCTAGTAGTTCTAAAATAATCTATTTTAGTATTTAATAAATATTATTTTCTTCTATTTAGAATATTCAATATAATTTTAAAAAAAAATTTTTACTTTAATTGGTTTGAGATTTACGGTTTTGTATACTTCCGATTAATTAACCGGTTCTAAAAATAAACGGTTACCGTTATAGATTTCCCCCTTTATCAAATTCCATGATTACCGGTAATTGATAACCGTTTCTCAAAATTGAAACTCGAGAACCGGGAAGCGGATACCAGTCCAAAAAGTACTCATGGTAACCGGTTACCGGGAAAAATCGGTTACCGGTTTCAAGCCCTGCTTTTTTTTTAATGTTGGAAAACAAAAAATAATTTAAATCTCTAAAACAATTCTAAATATAACATACAATTTCTTTTCTAAGCTATATTTTACATCAACAAGTAACAACTATTTAAACCAAACATAAATATTTATGAAAAATTATTTCGGATAATTAGTTTTTTTACTCAAATGCCTAAATGAGTTTTGGAATTAAGTTGGTTATTTCTGAAACAAAATATTATCTAACAATTATTATTTGTTTTCACTAATTAACAACATTCAATAGGTTAAGGCTTCTTTGGTTATCAATAATATTTTCATATTTCCGTTTATTAAATGAAAATTATTAACTACTCTAATGTTAAATAATTGAGAATTTGTTATAATATAGGTTTTACATGAAAACCATTATGTAGGAGATAATATGTATAGATAAAAAGTTTTGATTCAGCCAACGGTATTAGGTATAGGTACTGTTATATTATGATGTTTATCGCTGCAAATAATAAACTTTTGAAATTAAACGTTTACCTAACTACATAATCAGTTTAAAAAATAAAAACCCGCCAAATCCGTCGTAAAGGATAATAAATGATAAGTTTTGAAAAAGATAAATTTTAATTTAATTTTTAGCAGGAGAATAAGTTTTGGTATTTTATTTCAAGACAAAGTTAAAAAAATGATATGCTTTCATGAAAGCTTAAAATGTTAATATCAATAGAATTTTTTTGGCACATAAATAATCAGTTTTTGAAATGGCTACTCGTGTACACCATATGGACCAACCGAGGCCCGCCATTTTTTCTCATCATGTAGAATATAGTTATATTATAATCGTCTCCGTCGGCGAGACAGAGGTGCGTAATTTAATATTCTTATCGACTTTTCAGTAATTATTCGCCAACCCGGCGTGACCGCGGTGTATTGCAATGTATATAATTTATTTATATCATACCTACATCTATATATTATTATAATAACACGGTACGCCCTCGGGCCGCGGTTACGCATATACTTACTCATATACCTACGCCCATCAGCGGTCAGTTACCTATATACCTACCTTCAGAGGAAATCGGTAATAGGAAAAATATAGAAAGGGAATGTAAATATTATGTTTATTGTAAACATTTGTACTAAATTAATAAAAACGATTTTCCTAAATTGTATTCCAAGACACATATCATGTTATACCAATTATTCACTGTGTGTGTCGTCTTACAGGCGACGGCAATTTGCATCTAAACGTGGTAACATCGCAACGAAACGAAGAACTGGCTCGCATGATCGAGCCTTTCATTTACAGGTGGACTTCCAAGTACCGCGGAAGCGTCAGCGCCGAGCACGGGATCGGTTTGTCAAAAACGCAATACCTGGAGCATACGAAGAGTAAGGCGGCCATCGACCTTATGCGGAGTCTGAAAAATACCATGGACCCAAAGTGTATATTGAACCCTTACAAAGTGATCCCGGCCGTGGCGGCCAGCGATCAGTAATCCGGAATTTGAAAAAAAACCCAATGTTTATATATTTATAATATAGCTTATACGTCCAATGTGGTAATAATAAACTTTGGTACGTACCTTACGCACGCATATAAATATATTACACCTAATGCATGTACGGAATTCCATGTATATATGCAAGAAAGGGTTTGTGCTGGGTACATATACCCTCGATATACCCAGCAAATCTTGAAGCCATTCAAATAAAATACAATTTTATTTCCCCGAGAGAATGAGAGAATAAAGATTGTCCAAAATACTATCGTGTCATCTGAACATAAAAAAGTCACGTTGTTCTACACATCGATTTAAAATAGTATATTTCCCCATCCATCAGTGATAATAAATTCCTTTATATTGTGGCAACAGAATTTAATCCAGAGATCAGCTGTTTTAATCTAGGTACTACTAGCGCCCCTAGTAATCTGATTTTATAGTTTTTTTTACCACCTTCTTGGTCTTTGTAGTACTATAATGGTTGAATATTTTATCCACTTAGGGCCAGTTGCACCGTCTGCGGTTAAACTTTGATTTAACTTAATCAGCTGATAACAGATATTTAACCGGGCATATTCGGCCGATTAAACTCGGGTTAACTTTAATCAGAGATGGTACAATTGGCCCTTAGAACGCTATATTTTGCAAATCGAAAGTTTCTATTGATTTAATGATTTAATCTGTAGGTCAGTTTATCACTAATGGATGTGCAACCTACTATCTTAAATCGTGTTGACGTGTTGTACACACATCTTATCACTTATCAGTATATTACATTTTAATAAAGACCATACATTTTATACATTTTATGTACCGTATTAATTTTTTTCTATCAATAGTTTTTTTAAAGCTAATGGATATTATATTACTCATATAAATCATATCACAATACAAAGAACAATAAGCACAATGATATGAAATCTTAAATATTTGTACAATCCAACTTAGTATTGTCAATCATTTATTTTGTTTACTTTTCACTATTTTCCTATCGTAGACGTTAATATGTTATACAATTAAATAAACGAAATAATTGATAGGAGATTGAATAAGGTTTATAAGTCTATTAAATTATTAACTGTTTATGTCCTTCAGTTATTGAATTTCAAAATTATAAAAAATAAATAAAAACAATGATATTGATATAGTAAAAGTAGGTAATCTGTAATACCGTATGATGTGCGAACCTAAAACAAGAAGTTATATACATGGATACAACAACATTATTTTATGATGACTAATTTTACTATTTCAAATTGCTCTATTATGTCTGATACTCCGATAGTTATCTGTGCATATAAGAACGGTTAGGTGTCAAGAACATAATATTTAGAATAGACACTATTAATAACATTGATTCCGTGCCAAAGATAATATTGAATAATTTACATTTTTTTATTTTTGTTACTAAACAGATACTAAAGTAATAATAATAAGTATTATAATTTGTTTTTTAAACAAATTTTTAATCTGATCGATAACTATCAATTATACCATTATTTAAAGAAAATATATCTATTAAAATCAAAAACCTTACTAACATATGAACATTAATTATATTATGGCATCGTATTAATTATTGATGATAATACATCGTATAGTTAAGATAAAAAATATTATTTATTATTTATTAACATTAAAATATTATTTATCAAATAAAAAATTATTTTAATTCTATAAGTACAAAGAAAATACTAATAATATGAGTCACGATATCAATATTCTGTTTAAAGGTTTTTATTTAATTATTTAATTTGTATAGTACCTACATATTTTTATCATTGCGTAAAATGCAATACAAATCATTGGAATTTCAAAAAAAAATGTAGGACAAGAAAATAATTATACGTCTATACATTACACATTTCATGAACAAATCAAACAAACATAATATTATAATTTATAATATGTAATATTTCAAACAAAATGAGAATTTTTAATTAAATTTCATTTTTTAAAAATAAATTGACCACTCTAGTGTGTTTAATAAATAACATTGTTTGCTTACATGTTTTCATCACCTGTAGACAAAAAAATAACACAATGCATTTACAATTTTGTTAGTTTTTTTGTTTCAGTTCAGATACGTTATTTATGACAGTTAGACCGATCGCGATGGTGACAACCACTAGTTGATGGCCAGTGTGTAAAATAAAACCAATAAAAAAATATTTGACGAGCTCACTTACTTTTTCGAGTTACACAAAATTTGATAAGCTTAATGGCTTATTTAAATTGAATGGCCCAATCATTTTTCGGTCGTTGTTCGATGTTTAAGGAACTGTTCAATATTAATTGATGATCCGTTTAACTCTAATGGACACTTTTCAGGTTTTAGTAACATTAGCATTTAACATTCTGAAAATACCTAAGCAAATTTTAAATCAAGGAAATTAATTTAATTTATATGTAAATAAAACTATTCATCATTAAAATATCTGCTGAGTTCAATAAACATAAAACAAGTAAATAATTATACTAATGTCTTGCATATGAACTAATAGTTTCTAGTTATATTATATAGTATACGAGTATAATATAGTATTATACTACAGCCCGTAAATAATAAATTGGTATTTCAATCAGTTAAAAATTTACTATCTCTAAATTTTAAATTACACAATTAGAAATAATTTCTCATATAGCAAATACCTAACACATCCGTCATACGCATATATAAAATATATTCGAGTTTAAATCATATGAGAAAAAAATATATCATATACAGAGTGATTCACCAAACCCGCTCACCCTTTTTTTATTTAATAATACATTATACAACAATTCAAAATCTGAATTTTGGAATTTTTAAATATGCCTACTTTTAGACCATAATATCAAATTCTTGAGGTTTATTGTACTGCCTACTTAAGAAGTGTTCTGTAGAGATACAAACTTCTATTTTTCAAATGAGAATCCTCATTTAACCTTTTCTGTTTTAAATTATTTAGAAGATATTTTTTCGAAAATGTTGACGTGTCATACTTAAAATTCGAATGAGTAATATTTGAGTTTTTTAACTTTGTGTTCTAAGGTTTAAAAATAATAGATCCATAAAATTAATTTCGAAGATATTATGGCCATGCTGATTTGAAAATATTTGTAATTAATATTAATCCAACTACATTAATAAGAATTTTAAAAATGGTCCAAGTATAATAAATACTAGATCCAATATCCTCTTAAATATTCTCTCGTTTCAAAAAAAAAATTAATTTAAGTTGTCCAAATAGAAAGTGCAAAGCGGTCAACTATAGATAATATATCAATTGTATTTAATCGGTCGTCCTAATTTCTAAGTTTTAATATTTAAATTTTTTCTAACCTAAATTATTTCAGTATTTATATTCATGAATCATATAATATTATAATATTAATTGCAATGAATACCAACGTTATTCTTTGCTAATTTAACTATGCAGTTACCTAAATCAAATTTAACTTTTATAACAGGCATATGTTATAGGTATATGGTATTTATACTACATTATATTTTACACAGTTTAGCGATATTTTTAAATTATGTAACATTCCGACATAAGCAAATATATTAATACATGCATATATCTAAGTTGCTTCTAACTATCATATGCTGTGACTGTTAACCTAAAGTAAATATAAACAATTTAAACAAATATTTCAAAAACTAAATCAATTGAAATGTTCATGTTCAGCAGTTATTGTAGCCTGTAGGTATTTGCTATGTTTTTATTACATAATATTATATTCTAAGTTATATAACTGCAATAAATAATTATAATTTATAACGTTAAGTATACAATTGTATATAATTTATTTTGTGATAATATGAATTTAATTATTATATTTTAATTATAAGTTATTGGTTTATTGTTATAGATATACTAATTTCCTCTCACCTCTCGGGGTATAAGTTTATTGTACTTTAGTTAAAGTACAGCTACTCAAAGTAAATATTAAATTTAAAAGTACCTAATAAATAAAATATGATTAATATTATATACTCATAAGCATGGCACAACTAGAATTTTTCTCTTGAATGCCGTGTAAATAAAAATACTCTCCTTTTTAAGTTATTAGATTATGAGCGGTATGATAAATGTATTGGTTTTACAATAATGTGTTCCGAAGACACTTTTTACAGTATTAAAGGGGGGTTCGAAGTAAAAAATTCAGAGAAATTTTAAAAATAATCGGGAAATACATCATGACACAAATATATATTACGGTGACTAACTCACTGTAACTATTTTAGACAGCAGATGGGCTTCACTAGATTTTTTTAATTTAAAAAATATAAAAGTTTCCAAGTCTACATAAAGGATACACCTATTATTTTATACTTAAATATACCTTATCAATTAATTAGTCAATTATTTATCGAAATAAATTTAGCAGCTTTTATGATATAATTAAACTGAATACAGATTATACTTAACCGAACAACGAGGAAACATTGCAGTACCTTCCTATATTCATAGGTGAAATTTGGGCGATGCTTGGGGGTGCTTAGAACCCCCAAATTGTTGATAGCATCATCGAATTTTTATTGACTATAATATTATGCCATAGGTATTTGTATACATTTATTTCTAAGACATTATCATGTTCATAATAATAATAATAATAATACATAGGTACCTATCAGAATAATAATATAGATTGAAGTTTATCATGTTATAGGTAATTATTTATATTAAGATTAATGCGAAGTTGTATACAATTAAGTTGTATGAATGGAGGGGAAGTGGGGGGCAAAGCCCCCATCGATCACTCTAGTAGACGTAAATCTAGCACAGTAGCACCTCCATAAATTTAACCCAAATTGCGCCTATGCCTATATTATACTCGAAGTGGGTACATACAGGGCCGGAGCGAGGGGGGGTTTCAGGGGGCGTCACGACCCTTCACTCATTTAACCTAATATTTCAGTCGGCACATTAACACATTGTCAAATACAACAAAAATATGTATGAAATATAAAAATACAAAAAAAAAAAAAAAATTAAAATAAACCAGTTAATTCCTATGGCTAATGAACTTTGTCGTTTGGCATTAACATCACCAGTTACCACAGCTTCAAATGAACGATGTTTCAGCAAGCTAAAATTAATCAAAAACCATTTAAGAACTACTATGACCAGTTCCCGATTAAATGATTTGATTATACTTGATTCTGAGAAAGACATTTTAGATAATATTGAAATGACAAATATGATACAAATATGGCATCGTTAAAAGAAAGAAGAATTTCGGTGTAATATATAATTATTATATATATAATTTTTTATAATTTTTGTATTTGGAATGCACATTCTGACAATGTTAAATGATATTTTGTAAAATGTAATATATTATAATACTTATTTGTTATAAAAAATAGTTATTGTTTTATGATGCTCATTTAAAATCAAAATAGATAGAGATACTAAAAAATCAGCTTCGATCAAAAACTCTAAGTAAAAACTAAAAAGGCAATATTGTTGGTAAATAGTGATTTAAATAATTGAAAAATGTCTCTAGGATTTTGTTTATTCTTTATCATATGATACAAAAACATTATTAGTTTTATTGTTTTATTTATAAACGGTTTGACAAATTTTTACTCTGGAACAATATCATAATTAATAGTGAATATTGAAAAATATGTATAAAAACATGCATTTATCAAGATTTTATACTAAGTTTTTGCTTTAACATAGTATGGAATTGTCGAAACAAAAACTTGACATTTTGAGTGTCGCAAAAATTTTTTTTTAGTGTTTTATAATTATGCATGAATTTCAGTCGTCACTTTCGTTAACCACGACCCCTCACAAATATTAGCTAACGCCGGCCCTGGGTACATAGAGGTATTCGGGTATTCTATAATATGCTTTTATTCAACTATTGTGTGTAATATGAATAACAATTGTGTTTTAGTCGCACGCAAACGCTACAACTAATCAACTCAACTCGGTAATTTTCAATTTTGTTTACACCTACGTATGTACTATGTACCTATAGGTATATTGTATACATAAATGAATAATTACAAAATAAATTAACACGTTGTCTACAAATCCATTATCGAAAAATATAGGTACGCAATAAAACGTGTTTAAAGTTTAAAACGTATGTTATACCATGTAATACTATGAACTATACATACATGTGTATTTATATTACACTGTGAATTTTTAATGTGAATCTGTAAAACGTTAATTACCATAATTGGCATATAATTTATAACCATAGTGATATTATACTGATTATTAGTGTTGTATATACACAGGGTAAGTTTTCAGTTGTTTTATAATGTCATCGATTTTTCATGGAAACACTAAACATATTATTAGTCGTGTTATTTATAGTATGAAATTAGGTACCAAAGTTTTTCATTGAAAATTGCTACATCATTTTTCAATTCTTTGCATATTTATTTTGGTTTCAAAACTATTAATCACTTAAATGTTATTTTTATATTTTTGGAAAATGTATATTAAACACGAAAATTAATTTTAAAGAACAAAGAACAAAGCTATATTAAATAGTTAAAAAGCCATACCGTAGAGACCGTAGAATGTAGATTGTTCACATATCTTTGTATTCAATAGATTCAACCTACTTAATTTATCAAAATTATCAAGCTTACTAGCTAGGTATTAACAAAATATTGTAATTACGTGGACCTACATGGACATTAATTGTGAACAAATATAATCGTTAGTTCACATTTCTAAATCGACTTAAAATATTTTAAAAACCTTAAACAAGGTTATAAGATTGTATAATGACTATACATTATAGTCCATTGTCTATATACAATTGTACGAAAAATAAAAAACATCATTCAAAATATGACAAATTTTATTTATTCTGTTTTTAATTGCTTAGGTAGGTACTACATGAACATGACACATCGACATTTCTATATAAAATACGTTATGTATGTAAATACATATTTATTCCAACTAAATTTAGTATCTCCAATATTTGTTTAAAACGTTAAACGTGATCGACGCAATTTGAATAAGTAGTTAATTGTTTATATAAATATATATCATAAGTAAGACAGTAGTGTCACTAAACAAGCTATTTACTCTAATAGGTAGGTACTATAGGCACTCTACCGACATTTATCATTTTTATATCGACTTTTGTACAAATGACAATTAAATGTACATACATTGAAATATGGAATACCTAACCAAATAATTTAAATGTATAATATATATATATATTATATTAGTATATTAATTAGTATATATATATATTAGTATATATTTTGTATATTAATAATAACAAAATTCGTTTAACTTTGTACTGTTATCGCACTCGTCAATACAATGTAGATCTTTTGTAAGTTCTATCTAGGACTAACATATACATTTATAATAATATCATAATATCTATTAACTAATAACTTGAAATAAAAAATTTCTTAAATAAGACAATAACTACACCGTCTATACTCTATACTCTATAATCTATACGGGTGACGGCGGCAAGTTTTCTGGGGCCCTGGGCAAATAAAGTTTTCGGAGTCCTAACCTAAGACCTTTAATTTTAAAGGTGGCTCTCACTATGAGGGGCCCTGAGAATAAAATGCCCAGTATAAAATGCCCCCCCCCCTATCGCTGCCATTGGTCTATAGTCTATATCAATTAGATTAAATTTATATCTTTATAATTCTTAATTGGTATGCTTCAAGTATTGTTGTTATTCATTAAAAACAATTAAGCATGACAAATAAAATTCCTGGATTTATGATTTCATATAAATACAACCAATTATGTACCTATATTATGCTTTAAAAATGAAAAGCTATGTTATTTAGGGTAAAACGCTATATTGTTTTTTTTATAAAATCATACACCTATAATTATGTAAATACCGTGTATGTTATTATATCCAGCCACTAATAAATTATTTTATCTCATGAATATTTCCCAGGGTTCTTGTATACATTTTATCATTGTTATAATATATTCTATTATCATCCTAAATGATTATATTTTGTTTGTACTGTTTTTGTTCAATCATCAATATAATATCAAATACCAATACTATATTAATTTATATATAATATAAAAAAAAAAATATAAAAATGATTGAAACGCTATGCGGGTATACGGTTGAGTGTTCAACAGTACGCTGTATAGACTGTATAATATTATAGTGTTTAATTACTGATCAATTAAATAACGAACCCGTTCCAATCTAGTGTATAATAATAATATATACGTTTATTATGCACATTATAATAAACAAATAAAAATACTCAGTATGGTGACATTTTTTTACACCGTGACGAAAGCTGTATGTTATAATTTTGTATAGTGGCATAATTTACACTACAAAATGTGTTACACTCACTGCGTTATTCAAACGTCCCGCACATACACCTGGCTCTACCACCCTCACGTTAATTTCAACTGCCTAACATGGGGCTTGCTGACTTTACAAGTAGGGTTGAGATGTTGACATATTTTACAAACTGAAAAAAAATCATCCCATGATTAAATGTAGCACACGAACGAGTTTTTTACATATATTTTTTTAACATATTATGTTATTAACATAATAATATACTCTATTTTAAAAATCCAATACCCCAAAAATATGTTTTAATATACTAAATAGTATATATTATTATGTACCAGAAATCAGTTATATTAATCACATATTTATATAGTATTATAGTCAAGTAACCAAATGCTGTGGTCCGCAACTAACATTGTAGACAAAACACATTAAAAGAAATATATTTTAACTAAACTGCACATAATATAGTATGCTAACAAAAGTCATACTCATAAAGTTAATATAATTATTTAGCGTAATAAAGAAACACTAATTAATATTTGGTAATTAAATAACAAAGCTGAGTCTATAATATTTTTTTATTTATCGTTATCAAATGTTAAAGTAAATTACTTATGTCGATTGCGTACAAATCAATAAAATCTGGATTATTATAATACCGTTGTATAAATACCCGATTTATAATGTTCCTATAATTCTTTTTTAAACTTTAAGACTATAATTTATGATTAAATTAATTTAATTAAAACACCAATGGTTCAATACTTCAATAATAATCATTATACTACTTATACCTACTAGTACTACAGTCTACAAATATTATTACAATATGAACGCTTTAGGTATATTATATATTTTTTACCGTTCATAATTATAATGATATACCGTTTTCATTATGTAATATATGTGTGAAGGGGTTTTATATAGGCGTATAATTCTAATCCGTATGCCGTATACGTATATAATATTATAATATTATAATATAATGTAGTGTTTACATTAAACACTTACACACCCCTTCAGAATATACGTGGCCCGAAATGAAGAGGTATTGTGAATTCGTGAAGCACTTCATTCAAATACGAGATATAGTAGTATGTAATCGTACATATATATATATATATTATATATACAGTATTTTACACGGCAATATAAAACTATTTATTAATGGCTTATTGATATTTGATATATATTATACTCTGACAGGGGTCGTCTACTCGTATTATATTGTTAATTTTTAAATTAATAATGATGATTTAAAATCAATTCAACATTTAAATATTAAACATACTACAGATACAGTGTTCGTGTGATTAATTTATATATCATATATCAAATATACACCATATTATAAATATATTAGATTCTGAGCGGGGCGATTAATGTATTGATTTTACAACGTTTTTTTATTTGTGTCTATCATCATCTTTTAGAACAGTAAAAATGTTTAGATTTTCTTCAGCAGTATCATTTCTGATAGGAAAGTGAATTTAGTTCGTACTATTAGTGGGGGGAAGTAAAAATTCCCAATGGTTTTCAAAAGCGCCTGGAAAAAGAAAAGGGAATTGAAGGAAAAACGGAAATTTTTAGGCAAAATATCAGCATTTTATATATGCGATCAAATTTTCAAAATATTTCGATTTTTTTGAACTGTATACGGACATTTACAGTTTCCAATTTTTTTAGTTATTTTTTCTATGAATGTAAATACAATTTGATTTGTTGGGTAAAAAGCTTGAAAATTTAATACAAGGCTCTTAATATATTGTTACAATGCCATTTGAAAAATATTAAAAATCCATAGCCACAATTTTCTTTCATAAGCATTTAAAGTTCAAATTTTGACAAAACACGAACAAATCACGAAAATGCTCAAATTATTTTGAGTTAGAAATTCATACAAATTTTTAAAACATGATTTAACCTAAGAT